TCTAGAAATGATGCAGCATACCTTGCGTGCTTAAGTGGCTATAGAGAGGGGATAAAAAAATGCCATTTTAGAGTTCTTGAATCAAAAAAGTTTGCATTTGGCAAGGGAAGTCGTCCATACAGGTAAGGTACTGAGCAATCCCATTGAATTACCAGAAAGCTTTTGAAATATAGAAAATATACAAAATAAAGTCAATAGAAACCAGGATCTATCACACTCTTCCTCTACAATAGAGTTTTAGTTTAAATCAGAAGTGAACTTCTGAAATGAATCTATTTCTCCCCGTCACCGCACTTGGGTACACACAGCAGTGTGGTCTCTGCTCGTGAGAATTGGTTTCCTTTTGGATCAGACTAAAACAGAGATGGGCTTCACGAGCACACGGAAGACGTTCACCCGGCAGGCAGCCCATGGCACCAGACTGGAGCAAGAAGCCCTCAGTCCTGAGATGCATCACACCTGTCAGGTTGGGGCAACACAGATGTCTGGGCCCACAACCCGCTGTGTCATTGTACGTAGCTGCACCAACCTGCCTGCTTATCTAGATGGAGCAAAATCTTGCTTTGTGAAATTCGCATTTGCTCCTTCAGAGTCCATAAACTCCCCTCAAGCAAGGGACTGCAATCCTCTTGAGGAACTTTCCTGACATATTCTCTGCAGGATTGTTTCTATCATCAACATCAATGACACCTTTTCAGGAAGGTTAGATGTGCTCCACGGGCAGGTTTCAGGCTCCTGCCCCACTTTAAGCACTTGAAGACATGTCCCACCATGGCCACTGTTGACGCTGGTCTTGTGGAATGAGGTTGTCCTCATGGGACAAGGGGAGACATCTGACAGCCCCATGACAGTGCAAGGAAGAACAGGACTGAGACACCTCCAGAGCACCAGAGCAGTCAAGGGAGCCCTTGTCCAACATTTCTCACATCCATAATCCAACCACTATGCAGGTTTGGCTTCTCTGAAGGAGACTTGGTCCTGTTAATTCTTGAGGTTTTTCACTCTCTGCAACTAGCTTCTAGTTAGAACCACTATCTGTTATAACCTCTTTCGTGGGAGGAAAACAGGCCATCCCAAACATTAATTCTGCACAGCTGGGGGTGGGCAATACTGGGAAAACAAGGGAAGAGATGATCACCTCTCTGTTCTTTCTATCTAGACTGGCAGGAGGCCAAAATGTCTCTAAGAGTAAATTAGAGCAACATAAAAAAAACCCTCTGTTCCATCTGAGGATCCTAAGGGACCCATATAGCTAGCTAGGCCCATCATGTCAACCCACTAAATAGATGAGAGGAGCGTAGATTATGTACATTAGAGCTGATGAATCATTTTACCTTAAGCACTAACAAATATACATGTTCCACATACCAAACAGTATATTCTATATATAGAAATAGGAGTTTTTCCCTAACTTATTTCAATGCAAGATTCTCCAGAAGAATCAGTGAATATATTCTTATCATCCTATATAAAGAAACAGAAACACACTTGAGTTAACACGCAATGTCCCTGAGCAGTGGTAGCTGTGCATTATATTTTATGTTATATTTATAATATTTTATTCCATATATTTATAATATTTTATTATATTATTATGTTAGGGGGCAGGAAAGAAGCTATGAATAGTTTATCCCAGCTGATAACTTCTGCTACAGAGTAATAGCATCAAAATTCCCATCCAAAACGACTGGACTCTTGTAAGATTCCAAATAAATGAGATCATCATGTCCTGAAAAGGTGGAGGAAAAATATTGCCAGAACATGCATGTCACATAAAGTTTTAACAAAAATAGCAAAAGTGCTATATTTGCCAAATCAAACCTCATAGCTGACCTTCAAAACTTTGAGAGTAAGTCTCTCATTTGGCTTCAGAATGAACAAACGTAAGGAATCTGGAGCACCTTTACACATTCCTACCAGTGTTTATTCCTCCAAATAGTTTTACTCAATGCCTGCTTACTCCAGAAGTTAGTAAATATTTTCAGCCTAGTCCAAAGATATCAATTAAATAACATGTGACAAAAAAGCACACACCAGTGACAGTCTCAGTTCCTCAAAATATCTTAGTTGATCAGAATTTTCTTTTAAAATCATAACTCTTAATGAATAACTAAATGAGAAACCTTCCTTTGATACTAAGAAGATGATGATAGTGAGTGGCTCTATAGGAAAATTTATTTTAAAAATATCAAATGTTGCAAAGATGTTCAAAAAATAAGAATGGAGACTTGTCACTGTGGGTGTGCAAGCTTCTCCTGTCCTACCACAAACTCTGCAGGACACAGGAGGAAATCTAAGTATTTATATTTAATAGGTTTCTGTCATATTTCAGTGTGCAGAACATCTGCATATCACAACATAAGAGTTACATCCAGTAGCTGTGCTCCAGCCTGAGGCGTGTACTCAAAGTAAAACACAAATTCAGTTTTCACTATCATGTGAACAATTTTCGCATTCATTCTGTTAAAAACATTATGAGATTAATTGATTAGCTTCAGAAGAGGAGCAAATAATTATCCATACTTCAGATTTTTATTTTGTGAGGAAAAGCATTTAACTATAGTTCCATAAAAAATATATATTTTTAAGTGATTCTCTTATTCAAAAGAACTTACTTTCCTCTCTCTGGTGAGAAAACAGGAAAACATGGCAATTCTCTTATTCAAAAGAACTTACTTTCTCTGGTGGGAAAACAGGAAAACATGGCGTGGAGGAAACCAGAGTTAGAAACAGTTACCAACACAATACAATGTGATGAAAAAGACAATGGCTTTACTCTGTTAAAATGCAAAATATTTTGTCTTATGATTCCATTATCTCTGCAGCAGGCCAGCACGGCCAGCCCTTGACTTTGCTTGTTTCAGGTTTGGGTTTCCATTTTAGTGAGGGTAGGAAACCACAGCCACGGCTTCCTCCATCTGTAATTAAGGACCTGAGCACTATCGCAAACCATAGTCAGTATGACTGAAGTTATAAACAAACAAAAAAAGACTCTTAAAAATCTAAGGATTGCTTTTACACAGGATCATTTGGGCTCTTGCGTTACACAAGGATCAAAATCATTATAATAGTGACAGCAATGGTAGACCTTTCTGTCTTTTCCCTACCATCATTTTGTGAATTCTTTTTTCATTTTAATTAAAAAAACAAGACTTTTTCATCAGCTCTTTGCTGCTACTCTTGGCCAAGTGTAGCTAGGAGGGAAAAAAAAAAGAAAAAAGAAAAAGAAAAGAAAGAAAATAAGTTCCTTAATAGCCTTCTTTTTAAGTTCTGGGCAAGCACTGCATCTCTATTTAACCTCTTCTCTCCGGAGCTAGCTGTAGCTGGCCTGGCTTCCCAGCAGAGCTACAGCCAGTCCTGCTTTTGCTCTCCCACAAATATAGTTTCATGAAGACAGTTTAGGCATGGAGAGGAGCCCAGCCAGGGAGCAAGGAGAGCCAGATGCTTGCAGCTCATCAGACCTGCCCTGTTCTTGTCCACGTTGCTGCAGGAGCTACACCGAGGTAGTAACAGCCGGCAGTTGTGCCCAGTGCAAACGGAGTGGGAGACATTCTGTTTTATCCATACAACCTTGCAACCGCGGTGCCCTTGTGATCCCTTTGGTTGCCCATGGGGCATCCAACGTGTTGTCTCTTGACCAGCTCTGAATCCCTGGCCACTCTGCCAAAGGCAGCACATGGCGGGGTCCTGACTTGGGCAAAGGAACTTTTGGATGTGCCCTGGAACAGGCTGCCCAGAGAGGCTGTGGAGTCTGCTCTGGAGATCTTCCAAACCCACCGGGATGCCACCCTGTGCCTCGTGCTCTGGGTGTCCCTGCTGGAGCAGGGGGGTTGGACTAGATGATCTCTAGAGGTCCCTTCCAACCTCGACCAGTCTGGGATTCTGTGGATGTTTCACCTGGTTTCACCAAAGCTGCATTATTCCCCACAGAACACCAGGTAAGTGCAAACAATAACAGTCTCCCTGCTGAATGACAGAGCTATGGCAATTATGGAAATCTTGACTTTAGGCCGTGACTCATTTTCTGGCCAGCTTACACCGTTTGCAGGCCCGTATATGGGAAGGAAAACTCAATGACCTCTCGGTATATGTTTTGTTTGTTTATATTGGTAAGTAACACAAAACTTTAAAAACTAATGTAGTTCACCCCTCACAAAGAAGAAGCTAAATGAATGGGAGCTTGTATAGAATGAGAGGAGATTTCATATATGTCTGTCTAAAGGATGATCGCCTTGCACTGCAATCTCTGGATGCCAAAAATGAAAATGGATCATGTTAAAGTTAGCCCAAAACATGTCCCATGATCCAAGATGTCTCACTTCAACATACGTGTTGATGTATGCAGCAGCGGCCTTTGTTTTGCTGCCTTTAGCGGCTTTGTATTTTCCCATAGGAACTTTCAGTGACGGCGACATAAGCAAGCGTGCTCTAGGCTAAATGCATAACAAGCCCCAAATTCGCTTTAATGTCAAAATAAGACCAAAAAAAAAGAGAGAAAAAAAAAAAAGCAGAAATGTGTTTTCAACATATATCGCTGTGCGTGCCAGAGCGCTTTTGTGGCTGCGCAGCTAGTCGGCACGGCGCGGTAGGCGCGGAGTGTGTCACTGTAATGCGGGGAGCTGTAATGATGTCAACTTGTTATTTACTTTCCAAATCTGAATGACTGAGCACGGCGAAAGGAGAATCAATCAACCACAAAGTGACCCTACAGGCGGAAAAAAAAAGGAGGAAAAAAGGCCCTGCAAGCGGCGGCGGCGGCGGGGGAGGGGAAGCACATGTAACAGGGCAGCGTTGCATCATTTGCTTGCACGGGGTGGGG